CCCCCCCACACACACACAAAAAAAAGGTATGTTCTTTTCTCATTGTTTGGAAGAATATGAAGGGGATAAAAGAAACCAATAATCTGTGACATGGACGGAAATGAGTTTCTTTTTTATCATTAACAAGCATAGTGGAGGCAATGAAAATTAGGAAATGGAAAGGGTTTGCATACAATTAATAAACGGCCCCGCATATACCTCCTCAAACTGTTCAAAGTGATAATGCCGGGCAAAAGCTCCCTGCACATTACACTATAATAACAACCCCCCCCTTCTCCGTTGCGAAAAACAACAAAGAGATGTGCAAGGTTATATTTGAAAATTAATGAGTAATCTTAGAGTAGAAGTGTCTGAAATGTTTCCAGGGCTATCATAAAGAACAATTAAGTCCAGTAATTAAACTATTCAAAGGAAGATAATGAGACATATGGATGGAAAATAAAGAACCAATGCCTGGGTCAAAGCTTGGGTCAAAGCTTAACTAATTGAACCAATGCCTGGGTCAAAGCTTTATAATTTACCAGTTTCAACAGATCCTAACAAACAAAAAGGTTACCACTATTTGGCATGAAAGTCTGAAGTAAAATAAGGAAAAGCATAAGGTACTCACCCAGGAATTTCGAGAAATAAACTGAAATCATGACTGCTTTTCTTGCAACAACTCCACTTCTTCATTCCATCATGAAATAAAGGCTGCAAATATGAACTTAGATGATTAGCTTGATGTTTTAGAAGCTACGGTATGCGCAAAGCAAGATAAGAAATCAGAAAATTGATTTCACTTACACCCTGATGCCAAAGGATCCAGCAAGTGCATTCACGTCCAATGCGGTCCGTGCAAAAGAAGAACAAGATTATCAACAGATGTTTAGAAGGTAATGCATAATTCACAAGCGCTAATGTTCAACTCCACGCCCACGGAAATGCAAAACTAATATAATACTTGAGATAACATTTAGGTTATCTGTAGGTTCCTGCTATAGTCTCTACATTCCAAATGATAATCATATTCCTGCATGTATTTGCAGTAATTTCACCAGACATACCATTGACTATCTTTTTTTATCTGTAAGCAAAACGACATTCTGCTGATTCTTGATAATATAAACATGGGTTTCTTAGGGTGACAAGGTTCGTTTGGATATTAACTAACTGTTACATTCTATAGCTATGTATGTGCAATAGGATTTTACATGTACACGCAATTGTGCACCTACATGCTACGCAGGGCTCACAACGACATAACAAAAGAGCTAGAACTTGAGCTATTAGTAAGCACTCCTCAGTTTTTACCTAGTGACCTTTCTTTATCCAGAGTTAAATCTGTTTCAAGAATAAAAAATCAGCAAATTTCTTACAGAAAATTCCACACTAAGATGCTGCAAATGTTTCTTTCCTGGTTTCTGCTAGTTTAAAGAAGCTCCAGTCCCTTTGCACATTACAACAGATTCAAAGAAAAAGAAACCGATTTCGATCTCCAAAAGGTAGAACTAGGTAAATTTTACCATGCATTAAGTAGATTTAACTAGTTTTTTCACTTCCCTTAACCTAATTGGATATTGATGCTATAAATAGGTTTTTTTTTATATGGGCAAAAGTGGAAGATCTATATTATTGCATGAAGTGTTGTTTATCCCCTCATACAGTTAGTTAACTACACTAAAAAGGATAGTATAGTTGAACACTCATTATAGTTCTCAAATAAAAACTTCCTAAACTAACTCAAAGTACAAGACCACACCAATCAGATTGATGTACTTGCTAATGATAGGATCACTTCAAAAAAACATTATAGAACAATTCAATACTAGAGACTTCAATTATCAAGTGAATTATAATGAATTAAAGAGATTAAAACTGAAGTAAATACATAAATTAAATGTAAAATAGAAAGGAATTGAATCAGAGAGATTAAATAAAGGGAGGGGACAGACGGATTCGTGATAAGTGCAGGAGTTTTCAGGGTTATCATCTTCTGTGAAGGTGGCGTTGCAACCGATCCTCTGGCATCGAAGTCTCTCCATTGCGCTTCTGCTGATTCTCTAGAAACTACTGTTAATATGTTACTGCTAAAGAGGGATCTCGAAATGGTATTAGTCTTCCCCAAAGTCTTTCTTTTTCCTTTTTGCCCCCAAATTTAATTTTGGGAAGCTGG